AAAAAAAAAGCCAGATAGAAAATTGTATAGAAACTAAGAGCTCTAATATGTAAAATGAATATGCATATAATGAATATTATATATAATATGTATTATTTATTATATATAAAATACATGACATATTTATCTTTACATATGACATCTCTCTCTACACATTTTTGGGGGGAAAAAAATAGAAGGAAAAATACCAAAATGTTAAGCACTGAGGTTCTCACTGAGTTATAACATTATGGGTAATTTTCCCCCTTATTCCTTTGAGTATGATCCAACTATTCTATACTGAACATTCATTTCTTAAAATCAGAAAATTATTTTAAAACGGTGAAATTAGAACCAACAGAATACTAAAGCTAAAATCACAGTAGAAATCATAAGCCTAATCTCATAATCCAAAAACAGGAAACTAGCTAAGGGACCTGACAGGTTTGCTTTGTGACTCAAGCTCAGTCCTGAAACTTCTGGCTCTTAAGTCATTGTTTGCTCACCAAGTTGCTTCTTAAAAAGTTCTTAAAGATTTTTTTTTTAATTTGATTTTGCACAGAACCTTCTGCAAATGGCTTTCGCATAGTTATTTCATCTGATTATCACAGCGCCTCTACGATGTTAAGTGTTCTGAGCTGCGTCCTCCATTCTCAAATTTATATGCTAAAGTCTTCCCGCAGTACCTCAAAATGTGACCTGATTCGGAGACAAGGTCTTTATAAAAGTAATCAAGTTAAAGTGAAGTTATTAGGGTGAGCCTAATCTGACATGACTGAAGTCTTTATAAAAAATGGAAATATGGACATAGAGACCAGTATAGAGAGGATTAGGTGAAGAGACAAAGGGAGAAGATAGCCCTCTACATGCCAAGGAGAGAGGCCTGGAACAGATTCTTCCCTCACAGCCCTCAGAAGGAGCCAACTCTGCTGACACCTTGATCTTGGACTTCTAGCCTCTGGAATTGTAAGAAAATAAATTCCTATTTTTTAAGCCACCCAATTTGTGAAATTTTGTTACAACAGCCCTAGCAAATTCATACATTATATTAGGCCAGCTTCATTCTCCTTTTTACTGTGAGTAACTTGAGACTCAGAGATGTTACATGACTCAAAGCCACAAAGTAAGTTTGAGACAGAGCTGGGAAAAGACTCAGGTTTCTATCGCCTTGTCTAGGGTAGATATTATTCTAAATATCTACCTTACCAAAATGTCCTTTTCCGGTTTTTAAATTTTTTAAATTAAACTTTTTATTTTGAGATATAAACAGAACCATACAGTATGTGATCTTTTGGGATTCGTTTACTTCACTCAGCATAATTCTTTGAAGATTCATCCATGCCATTGGGTGTACCAATAGTTCAATTCTTTTTATTGCCAAGTGGTATTCCATGGTGTGAATGTAACATTCGTTCACCATTCACGTGTTAAAGGATATCTGTGTTTTTTTCCAGTTTCTGGCTATTAGGAGTAAAGCTGTTGTGCATATTATATACAGGTTTTGTATGAAATATGTTTTCATTTCTCTGGGATAAATGCCCAACAGTACAATTGTCAGATTGCATGATAGTTGCATGTCTGGTTTTTTTTTGTTTTTGTTTTTTTTTAAGAAACTACTAAACTCTTTTCCAGAGTGGCTATACCAGTTTACATTTCCACTGGCAATGTATGAGTGATCCAGGTTTTCCACATTCTCTCCAGCATTTTGGTGTTGTCACTATTTTTCACTTTTGCCTTTCTGATCGGTATGTAGTGATATCTCATTGTGGTCTTAATTTGCATTTCCCGAATGGCTAAAGATGTTGAACATCTTTTCATGAGCTTATTTGCCATCTGCATATCCTCTGTGAAATGTCTTACCATGTCTTTGGCTCATTTTATAATTGGATTATTTGTTTTTTACTGTTGAATTTTGAGAGTTCTTTGAACATTCTAGAAACTATTCCTTTATCAAATATGTGGTTTACAAATATTTTCTTCCAATTTGTAGCTTGTCTTTTTGTTCTCTCACCAGAGTCCTTCACAGAGCGTACATTTTAATTTTGATGAAGTCCAAGTTGTAAATTTTTTCTTTTATAGATTGTACTTTTGGTGTCAAGTCTAAGAATTCCTTGCCTAGCCCTAGATGCCAAAGATTCTCTCCTGTATTCTTTTATTAGAGTTTTATAGTTTTAAATTTTATGCTTAAGTCTAAGTTAATGATCCATTTTGAGTTGATATTTGTATTAGTTATGAAATTTCTGTTAAGGGTCTCCCCCGCCCCTCACGATATCCAATTTCTCTAGCACCTTTTGTTGAAAAGACTATCGTTCTTGTATTAAATTGCTCTTGCACTTAAGTTGGCATATTTGTTTGTGTCTGTCTCTGGGTTCTCTATCCTGTTTCATTGATCTATGTGTCCATTTCTCCACCAATGCCATGTCTTGATTATTATAACTAATATAAATCTTAAAATTGTGTAGACTGCTTTTTGTACTTTATTTTTTCTATTTTTGAATTATTAGAGCAATTCTATACTCATATAATTTTTAAAATAATATCATCTATATCTATATATGCTAAGATTTTGATAGTAATTGTATTAAAGTTGACTATCAGTTTAAGGAGAATTGACATCTTTACTATATTTAGGCTTCCAATCCATGAATACAGTGTTGTCTCTTCATTTATTTATATCTCTCTTGATTTTTTTTCCCACTGTTTCAATAAGCGTTTTATATTAATTAAGTCATGATTCATGATCCCAGGGTAAAGGTCACAATGTACCCAGATCTCACTTCACTGCCCTGGGAGAAGGACAGAGGACAGAGGAGAGGGGGTGAGGACAGTTCTGATCTTCCAAAGAAATGTACCGTTTGCCCTGTGATTATCCCAGGGCCAAAGGGGCTTGTATACATACCAGTACCATTTGCATGTTGGAGACACCACCCTTTTTAGTGGGCACTGCCTTCTCAGGGTGGTGAAAGTGCAGGTAGTTCTGCCAGCAATTTCTGGTCTAGTTTTGGTTATTTGACAGTGAGAAATCTGTCTCTTATTTTTCTCAGTTTATTGACTTTTGTACTCATTGTAGCCAATCTCCTAACTATGCTAACAACTGCCTCCTCTGCCTGCTGTCTTGGTGCACTCCCTCCAACACTGCTGCCCCTTTAGCCACTAGGCATAACGTCACACACACACACACACACACACACACACACACACACACACACACACACACTCTCCCCTTACCTCTCAGATGCCGCTCGACACACTGACTCCACACACACACACACACACACACACACACACACACACACACACACCCTCCCCTTACTTCTCAGATGCCGTTCTTGACAATGGCACTATGAAAGGAAGGACGGAGGGCAGAGGAAGGAAGACAGGAAGAGATGGAAAGGACCTACTATGCTTTTAGACATCAGAGATCTATTAACTTAAGAAAATATTACAAAATCAGCTTGGAGGAATGATTTGTCCAGAAGGTGTAGTTTCCCTCCTAATTCAGAACCTTGTCTTCTAAAATGAAAGTGCTGTCTCTGTGGAAGTTGAGTAAGGATTAATGTTTGGATTTTTGTTGTGATTTTTGAGAGAGGAGCCCTCTCCAGATGGAGGTGGCAGCAGGCTGAGGCAGGGTGTCCTGTCAGACATAGGTGTAGAGGCACCGGGGATACAAAGCTTAACCCTGGAAGGGGTCCTAGAGATCATCAATCCCAGCAGGTCCCAACCTCCTATTTTTGGCAACACACAACAAAGGTGGATGACATATACATGCTTGACATAAGAGATGTGTCCTGATGTTCTACAGGCTGTTACATAGACCAGACAGGCTGTGAATCATATGCAAATCCCATCGGGCAATTCCACCTTTTCCCTTCTAAAATTAGGCACTTGCCAGAGTATCATGTAATGAAGCTAAGACTAGAGAACTGGACCAATCCTTCATTGCATACATGAGAACCCGAGTCTAACAGAGCTTACACAACTTACTTAAGAGCTCACAGACAGAACTCAAGATTTTTTTCTCTTTCATTCCTCTTTCCAACATAGGTCCTGAAAGCTCTAAATCAGAAATTCTGAAGATCTCAGCTGGATCTTAAGTAAATAGCATAATTGGGCTTTCATATTTCTATACCACTTCTGAAATTGTCAGGGAGAGCATCAAACGTCTATCTATCCTTTAGAGCTTTGTGTAGTCACTTTTATTCTTAGATTCCAATATTTATTCTACATGGATTTAATCAGAAGCATCTTATGAAAAGTTTGGATTCTAAATTAGATCTTGAAATGCAAAACATGTCATTTTTTAAAAATGTGTGTGAAGCATTCTCTGAAAATGCTCTTCCCTTCAGAATTCCTGGATTCCCTTTGGATCATCCTTAGAACACCCACCAAATCCTGAATTCATATATGCAAAGCACTTTAAAGAGGATCTCATCCATAGTGATTATTCATATGTGGTAATTGCCCATGAAGTTAGCAACTACTAGTGCAGTATGATATGCTGGTTATGAATGTGAATTCTTGAGCCTGACTGCCTGGGTTTGAGTTCTGACTCTTTCTTATTAGTTCCATTTAAACTCTGGTCTCACTATGGACTTGTGGGAACTTGGGTAAGTTACTTAACTTCTCTGTACCTTGGTTTCCTCCTTTATAAAATGTCACATATCAGGGGCCTCATAAGCGTCAGCTCTCACTATTATACTAGGTATTCATGTTTTCCCTCCCCAATCAGATTGAAGGCTCTCAGGGCAGATGCCACAGGTTACTGGGGGAGGACTCTTGTAGCCAGCAGTGGGTACATTTTACTCAGTATATAATAATTATTTGTGGAATGATGGAGTGTGTCATGGAAGCCAATCTGAACTGATGAGGCAGGCTGCTTCCAAAGGACTGGCCTACTGACCAGACCCATCCTTCTATTCTGAGACCCTTGGCTCTCAAAGCCATGTCTAACATCCACTGGGGATCTGTGAGCATTTCCCAGGGGTCACAAATTCATTTCAAAAAGAAGTAACCAAATATACCTGTGTCTGGATGAGGCCCCCAATCCATCCAGGGAAGAAAAGAAGATGAATTCTCTTAGAATGGCTTGCAGTGGGGATTCACCACCATAGCTTTGCTCTTACAGCTGTCTGAGGCGGCAGCTGTCACCTGCTCCTAACCTGTGGGACAAGGCATGGAAGGGTGGAAAAAGGAAAAGCCTATGACATTTTCCAGATAGATCACTCCTGGCACTTGGTACTCTCACCCTGGAACCCCTATTTGCTCCCACTCTGGGATACCCACAAAGGAAATAAATGATAAAACAAATGTAACAAAATGTCAATAGTAGAATTAAGCAGTAGATATAGGGGGTTCACTCTACAATTCTTTCAGCTTTTCTGAAGGTTTTTTTAAGCTTCATAGTAATGTTGGGAGGAAAGTATGGTTTGCATTTTATATGTTTTTATTGTTTTTCTTAATAATGAATATTTATTGTATTTTACAAAGTACTGTTCTCCAAAAGCGTGGGCAGGGGGAAATCTGGTTCTTTGCTGCAGGTAGTTTGAGAAAAAATTTAGAACCCACCAGGAAAGCCTACAGCCCAAAGTCTCCAGAGTGCCCTCTGCTGCCCAGGGGCCTTGGTGCAACTTTTGTATCTAATGGCTGACTTAAAAACACTGTAAACAGTCAGTGTGGATTGGGGCCTCTTTCTCCACTTGTATCAGAAAAAAAGGGAGACATGCGTGGGAAAAAAACATAGGTTACAGGAGTGGCTCGGGCTCTGTCATGATCACAGATAAGATTCCAGAGGCCCTCCTACCAGGTCTAACAGCAGCTCCCAAATTTGGCTCTACCTCAAAATCACCTCAGATTCAAGGAATATACAAAATTAAGGAAGGATGACATTGCCAAAGGTAAACAATACTTTTTCAGTAATAGATCTCCAAGAAATGGAGATCTGTGATTTATCTGATTCGAATAATTCAAAACAGCTGTTTAAGGAAGTTCAGTGGGCTACAAGAAAACACAAAAAGACAATCCAATGATAACGGGAAAATAATACACAAACAAAATGCAGAGAGATAGAAATCATAAAAAAGAACCAAACAGAAATTCTTGAGCTGAAGAATACAATGAATGAAATGAAAAAAATGCAATAGAGAACATCAACAACATACTAAATTAAGCAGAAGAAAGAATCTGTGAAGTAAAAGACTGGACCTATGAAATTATCCAGTCAGAGAACAAAAGAAAAAGAGTGAAGAAAGCCTGTGTAAACTATGGGATGCCATTAAGAAAAACAGTCTACACTTTATTAGAGTACCAGAAGGAAAAGAGAGGGACAAACAGGCAGAAAGCTTAAAGAAATAATGGCTGAGAACTTCCTAAATCTGAGATTTGGACCACAAAGTTCATGAAGCTAAAAGGTCACACCAAGATTTAAACCTAAAATGACCTTCCTGTAGATACGTTATAATAAAACAGTCTAAAGTCAAGGACAAAGAGATAATTTTAAAGCAGCAAGAGAAAAATAATTTCTCACATACAAGGAAACCCCCATAAGGCTATCAGTAGATTTCTTCACAGAAATCTTGCAGGCCAGAAGGGAGTGAGATGACATAAAGTGCTGACAGAAAAAAAAAAAAAAAAACCTGCCAACAAAGAATACTTTTCCTGGAACAGCTGTCCTTCAGAAAGGAAGGTAAGATAAAGAGTTTCCCAAACAAACAAAAGCTGAGGGATTTCATCACTACTGGATCTGCCTTACAAAAAATGCTGAAAGGAGTCCTTCGAGCTAAAATGAGAGAATGCTAATTAGTAACATGAAAAGATATGAAAATATATGACACGCTGGTAAATATTCAGACTAACAAACCAGAATATGATGGTTTGTTAACCACTTTAGTGTAGAGGTAAAAGGACAAAAGCATTAAAAATAACTATTATTACAATAATTTGTTAATGGATACATAATATAAAATGATGTGAATTATGACATCAAAAACATAAAACATCAGCGGGGGGGGAATAAAAGGCTAGAGTTTTTATATACAATTGAAGTTTAAGTTATTATCAGCTTAAAATAGACTGTTATAACCATAAGATGTTTTACATAAGCCTTATGGTAACCACAAAGCAAAAATGTTCCATGATATACAAAAGATAAAGAGAAGCACACCACTATAGAAAATCATCAGTTCACAAAAGAAAATAGCAAGCAAAGAAGAAAAAAAAGGGAACTACAAAACAAGAAGAAAACAATTAATAAGATGACATTAAGATGTCCTTATCTATCAACAATTACTTTAAATGTAAATAGATTAAATTTCCCAATCAAAAGGGCTGGAGGGGAATTGGAGAGATACTAGTCAAATGGTACAAACATTTAATTATACAGTTATAAGATGAATAAGTTCTGAGGATCAAACATATAGCATGATGATTATAGTTAAAAATAAAGTTTTATTTTTTACTTGAAAGTTGCTAAGAAAGTAAATCTTAAGCATTCCTACTAAAAAAAGAATGTAACTAAGCTTACTACCTATGTGAGGTGATGATTTTGGAAATCATCTCACAATATATATGTATATCAATCATAACATTGTACACTTTAAATATATACGATTTTATTTATCAATCATACCTCATTAAAAAAAATAGCCAACCAATTAGAATGGTTCCAGTCCCAAACAGAGGGACTGGTTGCTCCCACAAAATAATAGTAATAACAGTTAGTGTCAACTGAGTGCTCACCATGAGCCCAAGACTAATATTCCTTGAAATGAATTAGTTCATTCCTCTCCACAGGGCTGTGAGCTGGCACTGTTATGATTCCTGTTTTATACAGGCATAACTCAGAGATATTGCGGGTTTGGTTTCAGACCACTGCAATAAAGTAACTATCACAGTAAAGCTGGTTACACATTTTTTTTGTTTCCCAGTGAGTATAAAAGTTATATTTACACTATAGCGTAGTCTATTAAGTGTGCAGTAGCATTATGTCTAATAAACAATGCGCATACCTTAATTAAAAAATATTTTATTGCTCAAAAATGCTAACCATCATTTGAGCCTTCAGTGAGTCATAATCTTTTTGCTGGTGGAGAGTCTTGCTACCATGTTGATGGCTGCTAACTGACCAAAGTAGTCATTGCTGAAGGTTGGGGTGGCTGCGGCAATTTCTTAACATAAGACAGCAATGAAGTTTACCTCATCGATTGACTCTTCCTTTCACTTGTACACTTAGAGGCCATTGTAGGGTTATTAATTCGCTTGATTTCAATACCATTGTATCTCAGGAAAAAGAGAGGCCAAAGAAGAGGAAGAGAGATAGGGAAACAGCTGTTTGGTGGAGCAGTCAGAACACACACAACATTTATCAATTAAGTTTGTCATCTTATTATGCGCATGGTTCGCGGAACCTCAAAACAATCATAATAGTAAAATCAAAGATTGCAGATCACCGTAACAAATATAATAAGAACAAAAAAGTTTGAAATACTACAAGAATTACCAAAATGTGACACAGAGACACAAAGTGAACAAATGCTGTTGGAAAAATGGCGCCGGTAGACTTATTCGACACAGAGTTGCCACATCCTTCAATTTGTAAAAATTAAAAATAAAAAAATATAATATCTGTGAAGCACAATAAAGCCAAGTGCAATAAGACATGGTATGCCTGTTTATGAGCTTACTGAGGCTCCAAGAGGTGACGTGACTGACCCAGCGTCCTACAGCCAGTAAACACTGGTGCCTACATATAGATGGAGGCTGTCTCATTCCACAACCCCTACTCTCAAACATGATGGACACTACATTGGAAGTCACTAGAAAATCTGTAAGGTGTCATTTTGAGCACTTTTCCTATGACATAACCAGCATTTAGGTTTCACAGGGAGAGGTAGAAAAAAGGCAATAAAAGTCTACATTTTTACTCTCAGTTCTGAGGAAACTTTGAAATATTCTGACATTCTTTTGTCAATTTGCATCAGTTTTCCTAATTTCCTCCTAAACATTCATTCTTTTATGCATCAATAGTCTCTTGATTAAACTCTAGCTGTAGGAATATGTAGGAGATTAAATGTGAAAACTCTGATAGTGCTTATACCTCTCAGCTTTCTTCTATCTGAACTCGTTTGGGGTTGTCACTATTCCAAATTAATTTGGTAGCTGCTTTTCAGGATTGGCAGCTCTTAAGTAATTTTAGAAAAGTAGTTTCACCAAAAAAACAAAAACAAAAACTCTATGTATGGGTTTCACATTACGAAGTTACATACAAGGGCATTATTGGTTAAAGTCACAGAAACTCAGAGAGGAAGCAGGCATCAAGGGAAGATAAATACATTAAATCTCTTTCTCATAGACACACAAAATAATTTTCAAATTCCAGCAGATGTAATGATCTACATGATACAGGTGCCAAATGCCTGCTCTCAAAGAAAGAGATAGTTGGAATATTTCTGTCTGAGAAATGACACAAGCATCAGATTCCCTAGAAATTTCTCCTCTTCATTCCTCTTTGCCCAAATGCTTTGTCTTTTGAAATGGAAAGCATGAGTTGAGAGGTCTTTCGGCCCAGACATCCATTATGATGAAAGACATCCATGGAGGCCCCTGGCTACCCCATGTGAGGCTCACAGTGTCCAGAACCGTGGTTCAGCTTCCCCATACATAAACTCTGCTCTCTCAGTGTGCTCAAGATGGCCGGGCTCTGGCAGATGTAGCCATACTAACTAGACACACAAGAGACTTAGGGATAAACCCAAAGGCCAATTTATTGCTTTCTATGAGGGAATGATCTAGCGATTTACCTATATCTGGTCCTTGGCTCAGGGTACTCCCTCCTGATAGATTAGTCCATTTAGAAGAACCAGTCATGGCTTAGACAGCTGCTTAATGGAGAGGGGAAAGAGTGACACAGTGCAGTGTTTCCAAACTCTTTACTTAGGTGTGGAACTGTTTGTTCTGATGACAACTTACCCTGGAATGTCAGGCATTTGACTCACATGCCTCCACTTCTCCTCCCATGCCTGCCCAGACTTCATTAACTGATCTCAGTACTCCTTCCCACTGAACCCACACCCAGTCCCAGAAACTTTCTCAACATAGCACTCTAAATAGCAACAAACTTGGGGTTCTATGGAGCTAATGAATACGGGGACTGCTGCAATGTACAACTTCAAGAGCTGTACACTGATTTCTGTGCTATGCAACATGGCAGCCCTGTAAAAATCACCTTCTTCCCCACACAAGTTCAGAACCAATTAAGAAATAAGACACAGGAGACATGCAAACAGTGCTCAAAATGCTATCTTCTAATAAAGATAAGCTTATAGGAAGGTCGGGCTTTTGATTTGTGGGCAAAAGGCCTGCTTACACTTTGTCTCTGGATTAGACAGTTTCCCATCTAGTCACAGGCAGTGCTGGAAAACTGCGGGCCTTCCCCACAGGAGATTCTGGCTCACGGAGCTTACAGACTACCAATAAAGCAGGCCAGAACGCCTTCATTGCAGACAGCAGATCTGAAAAGGGGTTGAGCTGCTCACATAAAGCTCCTTCTCCTGACTCACCTCGCAGATAAACTCTCCTCTTTGAATGAGTAAGAGGAATTCCCAAGAACCAGCAGTTTCTCTAGTGTAGTGGCACTCACATTTTATGGTGTGGAGGGTTTGTTAAAATGCAGATTGCTGCACCCCTGTCTCCAATCTCTAAATAAGTAGGTGTGGGGGGCCTGAACTTTTGCATTTCTAGCAAGTTCCCAGATGCCGCTGCTACTGGTCTAGGGACCACACTTTGAGAACCACTGCTGTAATGGAAGCCCCTTTGTTTGAAAATTTCCTCCAATCAACCATCAACAGATCAGGGTTAGCTCATAAAACAGTACATAATTGCCAGACCTGGCTCATAAAGAATTAGTTTGCTCAACACCAGATGAAACCAACTTTTAAGAGTATTCATAACTGTACGTCTTCCCAAGGCCTTTGTAAAGCTTATGCACACATAATTCTTTAGGAGGAACCTATGGTATGCCACGTTTCCCAAACTTAGTTGACCATAGAAGACCCTTTAAATTTCTACTCTTTTCAGGGGAGGAGAAGCAGAGCACATCCAAGGGGTTTATGTCCTACTGACCACAGTTTGGGAAACACCAGGTTGGACTAGAACTTCCTTCAGTTGCAGTTCAGATCTGCGTGTGTCAACGCAGCTGTTTCTCATGCTTCCTCGTTAATTTTTTCATGCAATCGGTAAAGATTTATTTAATTCTCACTGTGTCCCAAACACTGAGATTGGCACTGGGGTGCTAAGATGAATGATCTGGACTTCAGGGGCTTCTGTTGTGAGGGGGTAGGGGTGGGATCGCATTAATGTGATGAGCATTTTACCACCATGGCAGTCACCAGTCACACGGGGAAAGAGAAGGAAGAGCTCACTCTGTTGGGCCAGGAGCGGGTGAAGAGGGGCATGGGGAATGCATAGACTTTCTGCAGGAGGAACACAGGAGCAGAGTCGCAGAGCAGTAGCAACTTGGCCCATGTATTATAGATTGAGGTAACAGCACACCCAGAACTTAATGAGAAAAGAGAGCCCATGAAGAAGCTTTGTGGGGTGGTGGGTGAAGTGGCGAGAACGGTGCGCAAGGTCCAAATTGTTATGTGGCACCTCCACAGGTTTATAAGGCATCTTGTAAGGTGGGTCATTCCTGTAGGGGGAGCTCCTTATCTCATTTATGTTGGTTTTTAGATGGCATCATCCCAGGAGATAACTTCTGCATGACTGGTCAGCAGGCCCCAGATGGCTGTGTACTGAAGACACCCTCCTCCTCCTGCTTTCCCCCAGCATCCAGGGGACAGCAGGCAGAGATGATTGTCACGGTCTTCGTGTGCCCTGATGCATAGAACTGGCTGGCAATGAGGATTTCTGCATTTTGTGTGTCACTCTAGGGAGAGTGCGCATGGATGTAATGGACCAGAACACAGAGCATAGCCACTCTCTTCCCAGCATGCCCTTCTCTAGGCTGTGCTACATGGCGGCCAGACATCACAGGGCAGCACCTGTGTGTGTGGGAGGAGAGCATAATGGCTCATGCCTAGACATTAGCCAGATGTTGACATGAGCCTGCTCTTTGTCTCTCACTGGCAGGCTGAGGACAAGGGAGAAAAAGACAATGAGAAGAATTTTATATAACTTGTGGGTTCCTTTTATATCCTTAACCTCAACAAGTGTCTGATGCATATGTTTTCACAGGGTTTTTTTTTTTTTCCTGTTTATTTGTCCAACTAGACTTGGAAATTCTATTTCACAGCAATTTTTGCCCATTCCAATTCGCCAAACCAGGTTTAGCAATTATATTTCATAGTACATCAGAGATATAAACAGCTCTATTGAACTTCATGCAAACAGCCAGCGCCCTCAGGTCCAAATAATGCAGCTCTACTTGGAATTATGTTAGTCCCAGTGGACAAGGAGGGGAGTTTTCTGTGTCATTCCTGCCTTGTTACTTAGATAAAAATGACACATCCCAAGGTTTGAGTCTGGCAGCAATATGAAAGTTAATCTAACTTTTTTGGTGAAATATATGAGAAATTTTACCTTCCTAAAATCAATTGACCAAATGGATTTCCTAAAGAAATCGGCACATTTCTTTCTTTTATACTGTCCAGTCAGCACTTTAGGAATAGAAAAGGGAGAGGAAGTACCAAGAGAGATAAGATGAAGGCACTCATTTTAAATAAACGACAAAGCTTTATTACTTCCCATCGTGGGCTCTGTAATAACCTTCAGAGTCCAGAAGCTTTTAGGGATTCGCATTGTGTGTGCCATACATCATCTCCAAGGCCATTTTGGTCTCTCGGATGATTGCAGAACGATGAGTGTATTGATCAATCTCTTCCATATTTTTAAATCAGTGTAGGTGAAAAAGAGAAAATGCATCCTTTTAGTTAGGGGTGGATTTATGGTGCTATCTCTCTCCAGCCAAAGCAAGGATAACACTACAAAGACCAGTGGTCACGTGGAGCAAGATGGTTATATGACTCCTCAATGGCTCTCAGAGGGTTTATGGTGGCCAGCTTCCCAGACTGGTGCATATCGCAGTCCACATCTGGTGGTAGGAAGTTTATTGAGAGTCTGGATTTCGTATTTATAAAGCTTCCATTACCTGTTTTAACTGGGTGTTAACTTGATAAAGAACTTCACTGATGGTTAGGATTGTCTTTTTCTCACTTTTATGAACTGCTAAAAATGTTTTCAAGAGTCAAAATGTGGGAGATGTTTTTCTTTCCTTCCTTCCTTTCTTTTTTTCCTTTTAAATCGTTGGACCAGATTTTGGGATTTGTGTTTTGTATTTTTGTAATTGTAATGAAAAATTTGACATATTTTAAAATCCTTTAGCAGAAAGAACAGAGGGCTAGCGATGACAAAACAGACCAACTCTTCCTTACTGTACAAGTTCAAAGATCCAGCTCTGTCCCAAACAAATTATATTAATTTAAGCATACCATTTAACCTTTTGAGACTGGTTCTTTATTTGAAAAGTGAGGATAATAAAAATCTACTCTACCTGCCTCACAAGATTGTTGCAAGGATCTACGCGGGTGATGATCTATGTGAATGCCTTTTGTAAAATGGTGGTTATATTACGGTCTCAAGCAACCCGGCCGAACATTAGCTATAAATTATTCTCTTTTGGTTCATTCATGCTACAGGATAGTCACATACTAATTCTATCTGATCGCATATGTTCCCCTATTGGGCAATATCTTTAACAAATTGCTTGTCCATCCATTATCTCAGACATTCGTATATCCAACTCTTGTCCCAAGGCCATGAAATGCTAGTTACTCAGTTTGACCGCTAGAGGGAGCAAAGCCTTTTGTTTCCTTTTTCTCAAGTCAAGACAGTTAATTCTCTTCAGCCATTAGACAGCACTCTTCTACTTTGGTACCTACTGGAGCAATAAGTAAATATGTAGAATTTCAAGTTAGCTGATGATGGTCCATAGTCTGCGTCTCTTAGGAAAATATCTCAGGAGAACACTTCTCTTAACTAATTAAAATTAAGTTAAAAGAAATTTTTATGTCTGTATGTGAATATATATACATACATATATTTCCTAATTCTGTCCACTGAGAAGACCTAGAAGCAATGACACCCCAACAGCAACAAGCACACCTAGTGCCCAGACCTTGGTTTCTAAATACCATTTTCCAATAAAAGAAGGCAAAACTCCTTGGAGAAATGGTTGATTCCAGGGCTAGAGCAGGAAAAATACAAAATGAGCTTAGAATATCTTATGGTTCCATAAAGGATGGAGGCACTTCAAAAAATTATGACTGCATATCTAAAGAACACAAGAGTCAGCTAACTCCTAATGGTTAAAACTGGGAACATCTGAGCAACAAAATAGATAATGATGGTAATAGAATAAATAATCATAAATCTAGTGGATATAATAAACAATTGAATGAATAAATAAATAAGAGAGCAGAAGAAACAGTTCTTCTTACAGTATAATTCCAATTAATAAATGTAGAAGGAATAATGAAAATAGAAAATCACCATAGTAACAGTTATTACTAGCAAGAACCACCAGTGATTGCTAAAACTAGTGGGTAAAAGTTCGATAAGAAACAGGATATTTGCACGGTCTCAAGGTATTTCTCCATAAAGCGCTTATTAATTATAAAGGGAAAAACTGTGGCTTTATAGTAGAGAAATTGGGATATCACCTTTACCAAGTGATCAAAAGGATCATCAATTATAAGACATATGATGATGCACTGAGAAGGACCCAATGTCACATCTGTGGTATTTTTGCCAAACATACATATCCTCAGCCTCCTCAGCCAAAATCTCAAGGAATCAAAAGACTAATTCGAATTGAAGGACATTGTGAGAAATAACTAACTGTCTAGTATTCTTTAAAGTGATGTGAAAGACTGAGAAACTGTTACACATTGGAGGATATTAAAGAGACATGACAACTAACTGCAATGTCAGATTCTGGATTAGAGCTCCCCCAAAAGACAATAGTGGGAAAACTGGGAAAATTCAAATAAGCTCTGTAGATGATTTAACAGTTTCGATAAACAGTAACTAGTATTAAATAATTAGTATTAACTAGTAACTAGTAGTAATTTCCTCGTTTTGATCATTGTATTGTGGTTAGATAAGGTATTGATATTAGAAGAAGCCCAGTGAAGGGTATGAGTGAACTCTCATTTCAAACTTAAAATTTGAAAAACTAAATTTAAATTAAAAATTAAGATATACTTAAATAGCACGTACCATATGTCTGGCACTGTTCCAAGTGCTTTATGTATTTTATCTCATTTAACCCTTGCCATAACTATGTAAGAAATGTGCTGTATTAACTCTATTTTTTAGATGAGGAAATTGAGACAAGAAAAGTTAATTGCCCAAGGTCACCTACCTCATAAGGAGTAGAGGCAAGACCTAACCATAAGTGTCCGGCTGTGGGGACCCTGCTGTTAACATTAACATCGGGGTGCCCTTCGGCAAAAAAATATTTGCCAAGTATTTATGAAGTAAAAACTGGTGTGCAAATCCACTGTCTGCAAAGATGTACAAGACAAGTTCTTCTCTTCAAGGGGCTTCTAGTCAGGAAAGGAGACAGGTCATGACCACCAACAATAGCAACTAGCTATTTACGAAACACTTATTATGTACCTTGTTAACACAATATTTCATTTTTAATGGTAAAAATAAAAACGAGTCTCAGAGAGTTGAATGACTTGTCAAGGTCACGCAGTTAGTTAGTAAGCGGAAGAGCCAAGCTTTAAATACAGGGCTGTACTCATTTATTCAACAAATATTTATTGAGGACTGCTCTGTACCAAGTAGTATGCTGGGTGGTAGGAATGCAGCAGAGACTGAGGCAGACAAAGAACCTGCCCTCAGGGATCCCCCAAACCTGTGTTCTTTCCACAAGTTTTAATAATGTAGCTGGTATCTTACAGCTCACATCTGACCCTTAATTTCTTAGTACTTAGCCCCTACCATTTACACACCTTTTCTCATGGATCTAGCTTTTTAATATTAGAGACAGGAACAGAAACCAGCAGAAACCCACAATTTAGTCCTTAAAATACGGCTTGCTGGCAGCCATGTAGCACTTTAGAGCAAGGACTCTGCCTTACCAGAGCCAAAAACTGAAGCCTATTCTAACTGAATTTATCCTCCCTAATCCTATTTCCAAA